GAACAGAACTAGAACAGAACTAGAACAGAATAGAACAGAACGAACTAGAACAAACTAGAACAGAACTAGAACGAACTAGAACAACTAGAACAGAACTAGAACAGAACTAGAACAGAACTAGAACAGAACTAGAACAGAACTAGAACAACTAGAACAGAACTAGAACAGAACTAGAACAGAACTAGAACAAACTAGAACTAGAACAGACTAGAACAGAACTAGAACAGAACTAGAACAGAACTAGAACAAAACTAGAATAGTATAGGACAACAGTCTGGACTTCAAATGGTCTAGTCTTGTGAATAGTTTGAGCTATAGGGTAGTCTAAACTGGACTATAGCCCAGACTATAGACTGCCTAACAAACCACACCGGACTGTTCGTCATATTTTGTACTTTATAATCTTGCTTTTTTGTTTAATTAAACAAATATTTTCATTCATTATTTTAAAATAATTTATTATCGTTTTGTTTTTTTAATTTTGCTGATTTTACATAATCGCATTTATTTTTTTTTTTGTGTTGAAATAAAAACTCACGTGAGCGATATTCACTTTGTTTAAGTCAACAAATGTATACATATTTTCAATTTAAAATAAATAAATAAATTACTTTATAATATACAAAGTATTTTTTTCGCAGAAATGCAATCGTTTGTTTTTTTTTTTTTATAGATATTGTGCGAATATGTATTTGAAAATGTAGTTTGAAATTTAATTGGATTTTTCCAAAGTATTAGAAAACATTTCAAAAAGATAAAAAGAGGGGACACATAGAAGACAAGAATGACGGTTATATGCAAATTAACGTTTTGTTTTTTTATAATAGCCTTCAATATTGAAAGATTTTAAAATTATTGAAAAGCTCTTAAGATTGTTTTAAAAATTTTGTGATGCTGGAATTGGTTTGTTTAATACTGATTACTAAAGAGTATTGCTTTAGTTACTTTAATTTTACAAATTTGTCGACAAATTGCAAACGATTTAGATGGCGGTGGTAGGTGTTGTTGTTTTGCAAAACAATGACGTCAAGTACATAATTAGAAAAAAAAACAAAACATTAAATAATTAAAAGGCAATAAAACTGTTTTATCAATTATCAACACAATTGTTTTATAAATGTGTCTGTCTTCACGTGTTATAATTAAATAGAAAGATTTGTAGACTCAACAAGACTACTAGCAATGTCTTGACCAGGCATGGGAAATTTAAATTTTGAAATAGACTATAGACTAGGCTATAGACTAGACTATAGACTAGACTATAAACTAGACTATAGACTAGACTATAGACTAGACTATAAACTAGACTATAGACTAGACTATAGACTAGACTATAGACTAGACTATAGACTAGACTATAGACTAGACTATAGACTAGACTATAGACTAGACTATAGACTAGACTATAGACTAGACTATAGACTAGACTATAGACTAGACTATAGACTAGACTATAGACTAGACTGTAGACTAGACTATAGACTAGACTATAGACTAGACTGTAGACTAGACTATAGACTAGACTATAGACTAGACTATAGACTAGACTATAGACTAGACTATAGACTAGACTATAGACTAGACTATAGACTAGACTATAGACTAGACTATAGACTAGACTATAGACTAGACTATAGACTAGACTATAGACTAGACTATAGACAAGACTATACTAGACTATAGACTAGACTAGACTAGACTATAGACTAGACTATAGACTAGACTATAGACTAGACTATAGACTAGACTATAGACTAGACTATAGACTAGACTATAGACTAGACTATAGACTAGACTATAGACTAGACTATAGACTAGACTATAGACTAGACTAGACTAGACTATAGACTAGACTAAGACTAGACTATAGACTAGACTATAGACTAGACTATAGACTAGACTATAGACTAGACTATAGACTAGACTATAGACTAGACTATAGACTAGACTATAGACTAGACTATAGACTAGACATAGACTATAGACTAGACTATAGACTAGACTATAGACTAGACTATAGACTAGACTATAGACTAGACTATAGACTAGAGTATAGACTAGACTATAGACTAGACTATAGACTAGACTATAGACTAGACTATAGACTAGACTATAGACTAGAGTATAGACTAGACTATAGACTAGACTATAGACTAGACTATAGACTAGACTATAGACTAGACTATAGACTAGACTATAGACTAGACTAAGACTAGACTATAGACTAGCTATAGACTAGACTATAGACTAGACTATAGACTAGACTATAGACTAGACTATAGACTAGACTATAGACGAGACTATAGACTAACTATAGACTAGACTATAGACTAGACTATAGACTAGACTATAGACTAGACTATAGACTAGACTATAGACCTAGACTATAGACTAGACTATAGACTAGACTATAGACTAGACTATAGACTAGGACTATAGACTAGACTAGACTATAGACTAGACTATAGACTAGACTATAGACTAGACTATAGACTAGACTATAGACTAGACTATAGACTAGACTATAGACTAGACTATAGACTAGACTATAGACTAGACTATAGACTAGACTATAGACTAGACTATAGACTAGACTATAGACTAGACTATAGACTAGACTATAGACTAGACTATAGACTAGACTATAGACTAGACTATAGACTAGACTAACTAGATACGACCAGACTATAGACTAGACTATAGACTAGACTATAGACTAGACTATAGACTAGACTATAGACTAGACTATAGAACTAGACTATAGACTAGACTATAGACTAGACTATAGGCTAGACTATATACTACTTATAAAAAATTTATAAGCTAAGAAAGTATCCGTAAGTATAGGAAAAGTACTGAGTTTTCCATGCCTGGTATTGACAGTATAGTAAATACTAGTATGTATAGGGTAGATGACAAATAGATGTGTTAAATTAATTAAGATAATTGAATGATTTAAAACTAATTTAGACATTCGTAGCAGAAAATTCCATAATTGAATTCTGTGTAATATTTAAATTGCTTTTTAATTTATGGATGTAATTAATTTATTTTTGTGATTTCTTTCTAGCATACCAAACGTACTGGTTGGGTTTTGCGTAATGTCAATGATTGTGAATCCATTTCGGGTCATATGTATCGCATGAGCATTTTAACCTTCTTACTAGATGGCTCGGAGGGTCTCAATCAAATTCGTTGCATGGAATTGGCGTTGGTACATGATTTAGCAGAAAGTTTAGTGGGTGACATCACCCCCTTCTGCGGTGTATCAAAAGAGGAAAAGAAAAATATGGAATTTAAGGCCATGGAGGATATTTGCAAATTGATTGAGCCGAGAGGCAAACGTATGATGGAATTGTTTGAGGTGAGTTAGAGAAAAAAGTGTTTATTAATTTTTTTTAATAATTTGCGTTTTTTTAGGAGTACGAACATGGGTGAAAGTGCTGAATCTAGATTTGTCAAAGATTTAGATCGTTTGGATATGGTTATGCAGGCATTTGAATATGAGAAAAGAGACGATTGTTTATTAAAACATCAAGAGTTCTTCGATTCTACCGAAGGCAAATTTAATCATCCATTTGTTAAGAAATTAGTTAATGAAATCTATGAACAACGTGACAAATTAGCTAAAGCCAAAGGAGGCGGTACCACCACCCAAAATTGAAGTACCAAATATGGATGAACAACCAAACAAGACTACAGCATCAACAGCAACAAATGGTCATTGTACTAAAGCAGAGACTAATGGTACAACAACACCAACTAAATCAAGTTGATAAAATGGAGGCCTTTATTTTTGATAAACAAGAAATTTAAGTAAAAAAAAATGCAAAAGAAAACTATATAAAAACATATTTAGTAAAAATAGCAAAAGACGAGAGAGTTGGTGAAATGCAAAAGGTTTAGTGTGATCCTAGTTATTTGTTTAGCTATTATCATTTTAAGACTTTAGTTAGTTACTCCCAAAAACATAAAAACAAAAAGAACAACACTTCGTTATTAATTAAATATTAAGGCAAATTTTTAAATTATTATTTTTAAATTTATTTTAAACAATTAATTAAAATGTTTATTTTAAACAAGCTAAAGAAACAATAAGGTTGTTGTTAAATCTTTTTAAACAAAAACCTTAGCTAAGAGTTCCATTCTGAAAAAAAAGCAAAAATAATTTTAATTATTTTAACTTAAAATCTAAAAAAATCAAAAAATTAAAATCACTTTAAGTCCATAAATTTCAAAATTTCATTTATTTCTTTAAAATTTTACTTTCTTTCACTAAAAACCTTTAAATTATCTACATACTCATGCTAAATGTCTAAACAATCCCTTTGAAAACCTTCAAATTACAAATAAAAATTTTAACTAAATCAATAATAAGCTTTTTTTGAAACCAACCTATTGTTTCCTATTTATGTTAAATTTCTTTAAAAAAAAAATCTTAAACAAATTGTTTTATTAAAGTACAACCACAACATCTTAACTTATAACATCTACAAACAATTTGCTTAAGATTTGTTTATAAGTAATAACAATACTTTTTTATTAATAAGTATTTTATTTTCTTGTTAAAACTTTCAAAAAAACTCAAGATCTTTTAGATCTTATTTGTTTTTAATTAGCTTTATTAACAAAAAAAACTATATCTTTTAACTTTAAGTTTATTGTAATTAGAACAATTTAAACAACCAATCAAATCTATATTTAAAATTAAAACAAAAAAACAAAAAACTATAATAATAAACTCACTTGAAAAATGTCTTCAAAACACCAAAAATTCACAAAAAATCTATAATTTATTTAACTCTACGCATAAAGGTTTGGTTTTCTTTAAAATTTAAATTTTTATTGCAACTATTATTTGTAATATTAATAAAACTATGTAGCAAAAATTTGGTTTGAGTGCTTCCTGATGGCCGGTTATGAATTCTGCAAATAAGGACAAGATTTCTCAATATTTTTTTAAATGATTTGTTAGTAAAGGTTCATTACTTCTATTATTATCATTGATTGTCTTTGCTATTGGTTTGATATGCGTGCTGTTGATTCTTTTTGGCCTTGTCTGAAAAAGGAAAGCAGAATTAAAATAAATATAAAATTAAACAAAATCTATATAGAAAGTTCTAGTTCAGTTCTAGTTCAGTTCTAGTTCAGTTCTAGTTCAGTTCTAGTTCAGTCTAGTTCAGTTTAGTCAGTTCTAGTTCAGTTCTAGTTCCGTTCTAGTTCAGTTCTAGTTCAGTTCTAGTTCAGTTCTAGTTCAGTTCTAGGTCAGTTCTAGTTCAGTTCTAGTTCAGTTCTAGTTCAGTTCTGTAGTCAGAATTCTGTTCAGTTCTAGTTCAGTTCTAGTTCAGTTCTAGTTCAGTTCTAGTTCAGTTCTAGTTCAGTTCTAGTTCAGTTCTAGTTCAGTTCTAGTTCAGTTCTAGTTCAGTTCTTAGTTCAGTTCTAGTTCAGTTCTATTCAGTTCTAGTTCAGTTCTGTTCAGTTCTAGTTCAGTTCTAGTTCAGTTCTAGTTCCAGTTCTAGTTCAGTTCTAGTTCAGTTCCGTTAGTTCAGTTCTAGTTCAGTTTCTAGTTCAGTTCAGTTCTAGTTCAGTTCTAGTTCAGTTCTAGTTCAGTTCTAGTTCAGTTCTAGTTCAGTTCTAGTTCAGTTCTAGTTCAGTTCTAGTTCAGTTCTAGTTCAGTTCTAGTTCAGTTCTAGTTCAGTTCTAGTTCAGTTCTAGTTCAGTTCTAGTTCAGTTCTAGTTCAGTTCTAGTTCAGTTCTAGTTCAGTTCTAGTTCAGTTCTAGTTCAGTTCTAGTTCAGTTCTAGTTCAGTTCTAGTTCAGTTCTAGTTCAGTTCTAGTTCAGTTCTAGTTCAGTTCTAGTTCAGTTCTAGTTCAGTTCTAGTTCAGTTCTAGTTCAGTTCTAGTTCAGTTCTAGTTCAGTTCTAGTTCAGTTCTAGTTCAGTTCTAGTTCAGTTCTAGTTCAGTTCTAGTTCAGTTCTAGTTCAGTTCTAGATCAGTTCTAGTTCAGTTCTAGTTCAGTTCTAGTTCAGTTCTAGTTCAGTTCGAGTTCAGTTTAGTTCAGTTTTAGTTCAGTTCTAGTTCAGTTCTAGATCAGTTCTAGTTCAGTTCTAGTTCAGTTCTAGTTCAGTTCTAGTTCAGTTCTAGTTCAGTTCTAGTTCAGTTTCTAGTTCAGTTCTAGTTCAGTTCTAGTTCAGTTCTAGTTCAGTTCTAGTTCAGTTCTAGTTCAGTTCTAGTTCAGTTCTAGTTCAGTTCTAGTTCCAGTTCTAGTTCAGTTCTAGTTCAGTTCTAGTTCAGTTCTAGTCAGTTCTAGTTCAGGTTCTAGTTCAGTTCTAGTTCAGTTCCAGTTCAGTTCTAGTTCAGTTCTAGTTCAGTTCTAGTTCAGTTCTAGTCCAGTTCTAGTTCAGTTCTAGTTCAGTTCTAGTTCAGTTCTAGTTCAGTTCTAGTTCAGTTCTAGTTCAGTTCTAGTTCAGTTCTAGTTCAGTTCTAGTCAGTTCTAGTTCTGTTCTAGTTCAGTTTCTAGTTCAGTTCTAGTTCAGTTCTAGTTCAGTTCTAGATCAGTTCTAGTTTATGTTTCGTCCTATCAACCTAATACTTACGATACAATGTTATTGTCTGTTCCATTTCACCCAACATATTTTTGGCCAAACATTTATATTCACCAAATCTTTTGATTTTGTAGGTCTGACAGCTAAACGCATAACAATTTTATAGACATTATTTTGCAAAACAGTTTCAAAGGAACCGCCTTGTAAAAATTCCTTATCCTTAAGCCAATAATTAACCGAAGTGGGATGAGATTCGGAAATACACTCTAAAATAACTTTTTGCCCAAAGCCCACATAAATGGTGTCATAACGAGTCCAGATAAAGGGAGAAACTGATAGGATAAGACATAAAATATTATAGTTTAAATGAAAATTTTATGGATTTTAACTTACAATTAACTATCAAAGAAATCCTTTTACTAACAGTGGGCGGAACACCATTAGAAGCTATACACAAATAAGCACCCATTGTTTCTCTTGACACTTGATACAAAGTCAAATTGGGACCTTCGGTACTATAAATATGGCGACCATTCTCTGTATACAGAGCCAAATCCTTTTCACGTCTCCATGTTATTATGGGGGCTGGTAGCCCAGTGGCGGTACAGGTTAAACTAACATTCTGCCCCGTCTCTACCACCATATCATTACTAGTCTGATAGTCTATTATATCGGGCGGCACAACAACATCCAAATAACCCACTTGCGACTTCATGGGATCAGTATTTATTTGACACATATACCAGCCCCGATCTGATTCCTGAACATCACGTATACGTAGCTGCCAAATACGATGTTCTGTGTGACTGATACTGATGCGATGATTTTTCGTTATAACATGATTTTGTATACTGAGTATGGTTTGGGTGTCGACGCGTAGCCAGGCTACCTAATGGGGAAGAGAATGTGGAAAATTTCGTTGAATGATTTTAATAAAAGAGAAAGAAGCGAGCTTTTTAGGAGCTTAACGTTGGGCAACGACTGCAGTCTAGGCTATAGTCTCGAATGTTGTCTACGCCATTTCCAATTTTAAATCAAATAACAAGAAGTTTCCAATTATATTTCAGAAATGTCTAATTATGTTTCAGAAAATTCTAATTGTATTTCAGAAATTTTCAATTATATTTCAGAAATTCTCAATAAGAAGAAACTAGAAATTTAATAGAATAACTAGAAATTTCTTAAATATAAATAGGAATTTCTGAAATTAACTTGGAAGTTCTGAAAAACAATGGAAATGGTTGTAGTCATAATGTGGACTTAGAGAAGTTAGTTAGTTAGTAGTTAGTTAGTTAGTTAGTTAGTTAGTTAGTTAGTTAGTTAGTTAGTTAGTTAGTTATTAGTTAGTTAGTCAGTTAGTTAGTTAGTTAGTTAGTTAGTTAGTTAGTTAATTAGTTAGTAGTTAGTTAGTTAGTTAATTAGTTAGTTAATTAGTTGTAGTTAGTTAGTTAGTTAGTTAGTTAGTTAGTTAGTTAGTTAGTTGAGTTAGTAGTTAGTAGTTAGTTAGGTTAGTTAGTAGTTAGTTAGTAGTTAGTTAGTTAGTTAGTTAGTTAGGTAGTAGTTAGTTAGTTAGTTAGGTAGTTAGTTAGTTAGTTAGTTAGTTAGTGTTAGTTAGTTAGTTAGTTAGTTAGTTAGTTAGTTAGTTAGTTAGTTAGTTAGTTAGTTAGTTAGTAGTAGTTAGTTAGTTAGTAGTTAGTTAGTAGTTAGTTAGTTAGTAGTTAGTTAGTTAGTTAGTTAGTTAGTAGTAGTTAGTTAGTTAGTTAGTTAGTTAGGTAGTTAGTTAGGTTAGTTAGTAGTTAGTAGTTAGTTAGTTAGTTAGTTAGTTAGTTAGTAGTTAGTTAGTAGTTAGTTAGTTAGTTAGTTAGTTAGTTAGTTAGTTAGTTAGTTAGTTAGTTAGTTAGTTAGTTAGTTAGTAGTTAGTTAGTTAGTAGTTAGTTAGGTAGTTAGTTAGTAGTTAGTTAGTAGTTAGTTAGTTAGTTAGTTAGTTAGTTAGTTAGTTAGTTAGTTAGTTAGTTAGTTAGTAGTTAGTTAGTTAGTTAGTAATAGTTAGTTAAGTTAGTTAGTTAGTTAGTTAGTTAGTTAGTTAGTAGTTAGTTAGTTAGTTAGTTAGTAGTTAGTTAGTTAGTTAGTTAGTTAGTTAGTAGTTAGTTAGTTAGTTAGTTAGTTAGTTAGTTAGTAGTTAGTTAGTTAGTTCGTTAGTTAGTTTAGTTAGTTAGTTAGTTAGTTAGTTAGTTAGTTAGTAGTTAGTTAGTTAGTTAGTTAGTAGTTAGTAGTTAGTTAGTTAGTTAGTTAGTTAGTTAGTTAGTTAGTTAGTTAGTTAGTTAGTTAGTTTAGTTAGTTAGTAGTTAGGTAGTTAGTTAGTTAGTTAGTTAGTTAGTTAGTTAGTTAGTTAGTTAGTTAGTAGTTAGTTAGTTAGTTAGTTAGTAGTTAGTAGTTAGTTAGTTAGTAGTTAGTTAGTAGTTAGTAGTTAGTTAGTTAGTTAGTTAGTTAGTTAGTTAGTTAGTTAGTTAGTTAGTTAGTTAGTTAGTTAGTTAGTTAGTTAGTTAGTAGTTAGTTAGTTAGTTAGTTAGTTAGTTAGTTAGTTAGTAGTTAGTTAGTAGTTAGTAGTTAGTTAGTTAGTTAGTTAGTTAGTTAGTTAGTTAGTTAGTTAGTTAGTAGTTAGTTAGTTAGTTAGTAGTTAGTTAGTTAGTTAGTTAGTTAGTTAGTTAGTTAGTTAGTTAGTTAGTTAGTTAGTTAGTAGTAGTTAGTAGTTAGTTAGTTAGTTAGTTAGTAGTTAGTTAGTTAGTTAGTTAGGTAGTTAGTTAGTTAGTTAGTTAGTTAGTAGTTAGTTAGTTAGTTAGTTAGTTAGTTAGTTAGTTAGTTAGTTAGTTAGTTAGTTAGTTAGTTAGTAGTTAGTTAGTAGTTAGTTAGTTAGTTAGTTAGTTAGTTAGTTAGTAGTTAGTTAGTTAGTTAGTTAGTTAGTTAGTAGTTAGTAGTTAGTTAGTTAGTTAGTTGTTAGTTAGTTAGTTAGTTAGTAGTTAGTTAGTTAGTTAGTTAGTTAGTTAGTTAGTTAGTTAGTTAGTTAGTTAGTTAGTTAGTAGTTAGTTAGTTAGTAGTTAGTAGTTAGTTAGTTAGTTAGTTAGTTAGTTAGTAGTTAGTTAGTTAGTTTAGTTAGTAGTTAGTTAGTTAGTTAGTTAGTTTAGTAGTTAGTTAGTTAGTTAGTTAGTTAGAGTTAGTAGTAGTTAGTTAGTGTAGTTAGTAGTTAGTTAGTTAGTTAGTAGTTAGTTAGTTAGTAGTAGTTAGTTAGTTAGTAGTCGTTAGTTAGTTAGTTAGTTAGTTAGTTAGTAGTTAGTTAGTTAGTAGTTAGTTAGTAGTTAGTTAGTTGGTAGTGTTAGTTAGTTAGTTAGTTAGTAGTTAGTAGTTAGTTAGAGTTAGTTAGTTAGTTAGTTAGTAGTTAGTTAGTTAGTTAGTAGTAGTTAGTTAGTTAGTTTAGTTAGTAGTTAGTTAGTTAGTTAGTAGTTAGTTAGTTAGTTAGTTAGTTAGTTAGTTAGTTAGTTAGTTCGTTAGTTAGTTCGTTAGTTAGTTAGTAGTTAGTTAGTTAGTTAGTTAGTTGTAGTTAGTCTTTAGTAGTCGTTAGTTAGTTAGTAGTTAGTTAGTTTTAGATATTAGTTTAGTTAGTTTAGCTTAGTTAGTTTAGCTAGTTCGTTTAGTTGAGCTAGTTAGTTAGTTAGTTAGCTTGTTAGTTAGTTAGTTTGTCTAGTTAGTTAGTTAGTTAGTTTAGTTAGTTAGTTAGTTAGTTTAGTTAGGTTAGTAAGTTATGTTAGTTAGTTAGTTAGTTAGGTTAGTAGTAGTTAGTTAGTTAGTTAGTTAGTTAGTTAGTAGTTGTAGTTAGTTAGTTTAGTTAGTTAGTTGTGAGTTAGTTCGTTAGGTTAGGTTAGTTAGTTATTAGTTAGTTAGTTAGTTAGTTAGTTAGTTAGTTAGTTCGTAGTTAGTTAGTTAGTTAGTTAGTTAGTAGTTAGTTAGTTAGTTAGTAGTTAGTTAGTTAGTTAGTTAGTTAGTTAGTTAGTTAGTTAGGTTAGTTCGTTAGTTAGTTGTAGTGAGTTAGTTAGTTAGTTAGTTAGTTAGTTAGTTAGTTAGTTAGTTAGTAGTTAGGTTAGTTAGTTAGTTAGTTAGTTAGTTAGTGTGAAACTGTCTGTCAAACGATACAGTCATTTTGTAATGTCAGACTTTCTCCCGAAATATTTCCATTTTATATCCCACTGTGCACTGTCTTTTACTCAATTTAATACTTTGAAACATTAATTTACCTTAACGCCAACAAATCATGTACTATACACGTCAATGTTCCATCACGTCCAACCGGAACTGTTACATTATTTATGGGACCACTAAATTTTGGATCAGCTAAAAAATAAAAACAAAATATTTATATAAAATGTTTAATACTTTTTATAACCAACAAGTTGCTTGTTACCAAATTTAATGGTCTGCAAGGTTGTCTATTTTGATCGTTTTTTGGGGTGAGAGTTTTTGAAAGGCTCTTAATAGTTTTAAGGGCTTTCATTGCAGTACAAATAAGTTTTGTAAAACTATTTTATACACATGCATACTTACAAAAAATTACAGATTGTTAATAAATTTAATATTACATATTAAATATTTTACCATGAAGAAACTATAGTTTCTTTTGTGGTAATGATCTGCTCGAGCTGACATGCACTTTTTCAATGAAGAGGAAATGTAGTATAGAAATGGCCTAAACCAGAAGGAAAAAGTACATTCTTAAAGATCTGAATGGAAATATACATAGTAATCGTCCCTATGGATCAGGTTCTTTTTAGAACATCGGCGAGAGTATTTGTCTCCTCTGAAAGACTGAAAGAGGACGCACTAGGGATCAAGAAAAGTATAAAGATCGCTAGATAAGAATCCCTCCGATTTTTGCTTTACACCCAAGGTGTGAACATATGTATATAGGCTTAATCTGCTTTGGCTTATTATTCCCCCAAAGTAATGCAACAAAAAATTCAAAATTATATTAAAAGCACACTATACTAACTACAAATTATGTTATTTTTATCAAGAACAAAATCTAGTGACAGATTACTATCTTCTTGGGCAAAATACATTTGATTTCCAGTGGGTGTTTTAAAACTACAACTACAACAAACTCTTTGGCGCCCGAAATGCATATGGCAAAGTACCACCCTCTGTCTAGACTTAAGAAATTCAAACTTTTCCAAATATGTATAATTATTAAGAAAGTAACAAAACATTCTATTTATAAACAACAGCAACAACATAAATAAATGAAATATTTGACTAAATATGTATGATTTTTTTGTTTATAAAATGCTGAATGAAAAAAAAAAAACTCCGGAACACTTCAATAATACACATAATAATAGTCACACAAAATATTTTCCCCAAACCACAAAGGTAAGAAAAATTGGGGAAGCAACAACTAACTGCATCAGCACAAAACTAATTTAAAACATTCAAATAATTTTAACTCAGGCAAAAACATTGTTTTAATAATGCCAAAATGTGTATGTTTATTGTACTATAGACGGTAATTTGGGAACATGTATTATGACAGGACCTCTAGTTTTTTCTCACATTTTATGGATATGTGGTAAAATATTTTATAATTTGTTTATGGCATGTTATCCAAAACCATCTTTTTTTATACAGTTTAAGGGTAAAAATTTATTTTTAAGTTTGTCATTGTTTGTGTGAAAGAGAAACATTTTCGAAAAATTCCTATAAGCCAGAGGAATTTTCGAAAAATTTCTATAAGAAAGAGAAATTTTAAAAAAAATATTTATAAGAAAGAGAAATTTTCATAAAATTTCTTTGAGAAAGAGACATTTTTCAAAAATTTCTATAAAAAAGATAAATTTTCGAAAAATTTTTAGAAAAAAGAGAAATTTTCGAAAAATTTCTATGAAAAAAGAGAAATTTCGAAAAAAATTATGAAATAAGAGACATTTTCGAAAATATTCTATAAAATAAAAGTAATTTTCGAAAAATTTCTATAAGAAAGAGAAATTTTCGAAAAATTTTTTATAAGAAAGAGACATTTTTGGAAAATTTTCTATAAGAAAGAATTTTTCGACATATTTCTATAGGAAAGAGACAGTTTTGAAAAATTTCTATAAGAAAAAGAGACATTTTCGAAAAATTCCAATAAAACAGAGAAATTTTCGAAAAATTTCTATAAGAAAGGGAAATTTTATAAAATTTTCTATAGAAAGAGAAACTTTCGAAAATTTTCCTATAAGAAAGAGAAATTTTCGAAAAATTTCCTATAAAAAATAGAAATTTTCGAAAAATTTCCTATAAGAAATAGAAATTTTCGAAAAATTTCTTATAAGAAATAGAAATTTTCGAAAAATTTCTATAAGATGGAGAAAATTTCGAGAAATGTCTATGAAAAAAAGTGAAAATTCGAAAATTTTTTATGAAATAAGAGACACTTTCGAAAATAAAAATCTATAAAAGCAGAGATATTTTCGAAAAATTTCTATAAGAAAGAGAAATTTTCGAAAAAAATTTTATAAGAAAGGGACATTTTTGGAAAATTTTCTATAAGAAAAAGAATTTTTCGACAAAATTTCTATAAGCAAGAGACATTTTTGAAAAAATTCTATAAGAAAGAAAAATTTTCGAACAAATTTCTATAAGAAAGGAAAATTTTATAAAATTCCCTATAGAAAGAGAAATTTTTCTATAGGAAATAGAAATTTTCGAAAATTTCTATAAGATAGAGAAAATTTCGAGAAATGTCTCTGAAAAAAGTGAAATTTCGAAATTTTTTTATGAAAAATGAAACATTTTCGAAAATATTCTATAAAAGCAGAGAAATTTTCGAAAAATTTTTTATAAGAAAGAGACATTTTTGGAAAATTTTCTGTAAGAAGATAATTTTTCGACAAAATTTCTATAAGAAAGAGACATTTTCGACAAAATTTCTATAAGAAAGAAAAATTTTCGAAAAAAATTTCTATAAGAAAAAGAGACATTTTCGAAAAATTCCTATAAAACATAGAAATTTTCGAAAAATTCCTATAAAACAGAGAAATTTTCGAAAAATTTCTATTAGAAAGGAAAATTTTCATAAAATTCCTATAAGAAAGAGTAATTTTCTTTAAAAAAGATAAAATTTCGAAAATTTTCTATAAAAAAAGATAAATTTTCGAAAATTTTCTATAAGAAAGAGAAATTTTATTAAATTTCCTATATAATTTTCGAAAATTTTTCTATAAGAAAGAGAAATTTTCGAAAAATTTCCTATAAGAAAGAGAAAATTTCGAAAAATTTCCTATAAGAAATAGGAATTTTCGAAAAATTTCTATAAGATAGAGAAAATTTCGAGAAATGTCTATAAGAAAGGAACATTTTCTTGAAATTTCTATAAGAAAGAGTAATTTTCTTTAAAAAAGATAAAATTTCGAAAATTTTCTATAAGAAACAGAAATTTTCGAAAAATTTCCTATAAGAAAGGGAAAATTTCGAAAAATTTCCTATAAGAAATAGAAATCTTCGAAAAATTTCTATAAGAAAAAACAATTTTGAAAAATCTTTTTCTATAAGAAAGAGAAAGTTTCGACAAAATTTCTATTAAAAAGAGAAAGTTTCGACAAAATTTCTATTAAAAAGAGAAATTTTCGAAAAATTTATGAAATCAAACAATTTATGAAATCAAAAAATCATAATTTTTCGAAAATTTTATTAAAATATTTATGATTTACTTAATTTAATTTCTATATAAAGAGTTCAAAAAAGAATTATATTCGAAAATAACTTCTTCATTTTTGTGCTTAATATTCCAAATTTTCCTTTCCTTTTCTACCACCCTATTATCCCCTTACAAGGACAATAATATTTGTAATATTTTGTTATCAAATACTCGTTATATATAAATTCTTAATTTTTGTTGGATAAACAAATTTTTCAAGGGTCAATTTTTCTGTGTTACCAAACAGTTACAGATTATTAATTTAAGTGTTAATCTTGTAATTTATGGTTAATTTTTATAATAACCTTTGGTAAAAGAAAAGCCTTGAAAATTGTCGTTGAAGTTAATTTGTCCAAATGCTGAAATATGTTTAAAATTTAATTTGGAAGCTGTTTAGTGTATACATTTTTTAATTCATTAATAGGTTCTAATGTTTGTGGACTTTTGAGCCATGTGGTTTATGAGAAAATTATTATTAGCGGTTAATGGAATTAAAGAAAAACCTTAATTTTAAAAATTACCAAAATTAAATATGTTTTATATCCCTTATTTTGTATTAAGGATAGAAGCTGATGTTTGGTAAATTTGATGTACATACGTGCAAATAAATGAGAAAGTTGTTAACTAACTAACTAACTAACTAACTAACTAACTAACTAACTAACTAACTAACTAACTAACTAACTAACTAACTAACTACTAACTAACTAACTAACTAACTAACTAACTAACTAACTAACTAACTAACTAACTAACTAACTAACTAACTAACTAACTAACTACTAACTAACTAACTAACTAACTAACTAACTAACTAACTAACTAACTAACTAACTAACTAACTAACTAACTAACTAACTAACTAACTAACTAACTAACTAACTAACTAACTAACTAACTAACTAACTACTAACTAACTAACTAACTAACTACTAACTAACTAACTAACTAACTAACTAACTAACTAACTAACTAACTAACTAACTAACTAACTAACTAACTAACTAACTAACTAACTAACTAACTAACTAACTAACTAACTAACTAACTAACTAACTACTAACTAACTAACTAACTAACTAACTAACTAACTAACTAACTACTAACTACTAACTAACTAACTAACTAACTAACTAACTAACTAACTAACTAACTAACTAACTAACTACTAACTAACTAACTAACTAACTAACTAACTAACTAACTAACTAACTAACTAACTAACTAACTAACTAACTAACTAACTAACTAACTAACTAACTAACTAACTAACTAACTAACTAACTACTAACTAACTAACTAACTAACTAACTAACTACTAACTAACTAACTAACTAACTAACTAACTAACTACTAACTAACTAACTAACTAACTAACTAACTAACTAACTAACTAACTAACTAACTAACTAACTAACTAACTAACTAACTAACTAACTAACTAACTAACTAACTAACTAACTAACTAACTAACTAACTAACTAACTAACTAACTAACTAACTAACTAACTAACTAACTAACTAACTACTAACTAACTAACTAACTAACTAACACTAACTAACTAACTAACTAACTAACTAACTAACTAACTAACTAACTAACTAACTAACTAACTAACTAACTAACTAACTAACTAACTAACTAACTAACTAACTAACTAAC